AGTTTTATTAGTCATATACCACACAACTTACCCATTTAAAGTGTACAATTCAGTGGTTTTTAGTATAATCATAGTCATATTCAACCATCAGCACCATGTTGAATGGTGCCTTCTAGTTACCACCTCTGTCCTTCCATTTCCCCCATATATAAGAAGCCACTTTCTTTGTGGTCTCTATAGATTTGCTTGTTTTGGACATTTCATATGAATGCAGTCATATAACGTGGTCTTTTGTGACTGGCTTCTTTCACTAGGCATCATGTTTTGGAGGTTTATCTATGTCGTAGCATGGATTCCTTTTTATACCTCAATACTGTGCCATTGTGTGGATACAGCACGTTCTGTTTATCCCTTTATTGGCTGGTGGAGATTTGGGTTGTTTCCACATTTGGGCTATTATAAATAATGCTGCTATACTGCCGAACCGGTTTGGCTCAGTGGATAGAGCGTCGGACTGTAGACTGAAGGGTCCCAGGTTCGATTGCAGTCAAGGGTATGTACCTTGGTTGCGTTATTATAAAAATTTTCAAGTATATAGCAAATTTTAAAGAATTGTACTTTTGAACCGTACCAGTGTGGCTCAGTGGTTGAGCATCGACCTCTGAACCAGGAGGTCACAGTTTGATTCCCTGTCAGGGAATATGCCCGGGTTGTGGCTCGATCCCCAGTGTGCAGGAGGCAACTGATCAGTGACTCTCTCCTCATTGATGTTTCTACCTCTCTCTCCCTCTGCCTTTCTCTCTGAAATCAATAAAATACGTTTTTTAAAAGAATTGTACACTTGAATACCTATATGCTTAGGTTTTATCATGATTCTACTGTGTTTCCTTTACTACATATCTATCCATATATCACAATTCTGCTTGTCATTAACCCATTTTTTTCACATTTAAAGAAATGTATTTCAAAGTAAGTTGCAAACATTTATACATTTCTCCCTAAAGATTCCAATAAGCATATGATGAGAGTTCTACTCAGAGCTTTTTAAAAATAACAATTTTATTAGTCATATACCACAGAACTTACCCGTTTAAAGTGCACAATTCAGTGGTTTTTAGTATAGTCATAGTCATATTCAACCATCGGCACAGTCAACTTCAGAACGTTTCATCACCTCAAAAAGAAACCATGTGCCTTCTAGTTACACCTCTGTACTTCCATATCCCCCATATGTAAGCAGCCACATTCTTTGTGGTCTCTATAGATTTGCCTGTTTTGGACATTTCATATAAATGCAGTCATATAACATGGTCTTTTGTGACTGGCTTCTTTCACTCGGTATCATGTTTTGGAGGTTTATCTACGTGGTAGCATGGATTCCTTTTTATACCTCAATACTG